ATACAAAGTTAAATCACTTTGGTAACAAATCTAATGTTGTAAGAACCATGCAAACTGGAATTAAAAAAAAAAAAATCTTTTTTGGACAAGAAATTTGGCTAAAATGATTTTTTTATTTTACCTTTTAAAATATTTTTATCCTTTTAATTTTAATATATTTTGATTAAAAAATTAATTTTTAAAAATCATTTAACTTTAAATGGCCAAATTTTCTGACAATTTAATAATTTTTGATTAAAATATCTAAGAAAAGAAAGAAGAAAAAACCAAACTACACATTAATGAAGGGATCAAAAAGGAAATGTGCACCTGACCTTGACCCCCTTTAAATAAAAGATGATTAGTGCATAATCACATGGGTTGACATTAATTACAACCTGCAAATTTTGGTTAAAAGGATAAAGCAGACACTATTATAATGACCACATGCAGATTAGATTAATTCAATAAAAAAGAACAGACTATTCTTGTGAAAAAAAAAAACATATAATATATATGCAGCTTGATTTGGTCCGTAGAGAAATAATTAATTAGGTAACGAGTTTTTAAAAAAGATAAAGAAAATTGGAATTTATTAATGTTTAAATAAGGAAGATTAAAAGCTTAATTTGTTGACTTAGCCTGTTCAATGAAATCAAATAAACAAGGGTAGCTTAATCGGCTCTGATACATGATTTTTTATTAATATTTCAGTCGGTTAATAATTATAAGAATAAAATATAATTACTTTGATATTGAATTTATAAATTAATTAATAATTTAAAATAATTATTTTTAATAACGTCGATAAGACCAAACGGGTGATAATATCTTGGATTTTTTTTCTTCGAACATGTGAATACTTTGAGATTTGAGATGTAATATTAGGAAGTAGTCAATTAATATTATGAGTACCAACTTTCCTATGTTTTTCTTTTCAAAAAGTGATAAACTTAAGAAAAGTCAACGCTCATTAATTCTGATTAATTATTTTGGCAAAAGGACCTACTTATTATACGTGCATAAAAAGTAAGAGGAGTTTCATACGTATGATTTGAGATGAGAAAAAAATTTGAAATGAGAAGAAAGTATTTAAATATGTTGATAATATTAAAAAACATATTAAATTATCTTGATTTTATTTTTATTAAAAATGTTACTATTTGAATTCTTTCCCCATATTATTCATGTGATTGAACAATTTTATGATTTATCCTAATTATCGCTACAAAAAGAATAAAATTATTTAAAAATAAAAATTCGAAGAATTTGAAAAGTTATTTAATATATTGACCACATTCACATGCCTGTGTCATATTAAGGAGTATGTTTTAGACTTCTATTTCCCTCATTCGTTTTCTCTTATTTAATTCCTTTAAATTCTTGCATAAAGTTTTAGTTGCAATTCTCCAAATTAATTAATTATTTTTCTTCTATTTAAAACTCAATAACGAGAAAAAAGAACATCATCTCCCATTTTAAAAGAAAGGTTTGTTATTTTCCTTGAAGAAAAAAACCCAGATAATTGATGTTTCATTTTGCCAAATATTTTTTATATACGTAAAAATTTTCTATGTATTTTTCTTGATCAATTACAATAGTTTGTAATTATTTTATTATTGATCAATTTCTATTCTGTAAACAGATTATTAAATTAAAATGTACAAATATATATAGTATAGAAATAATTTTTCTTTCACTTTATTTGTAGATTTCTTTATTTATAATATATAGAGATCAACATCTCAATGGATAGTCAAGATATCTACTTAAACGTGGATATATATTTGATTATATAAAAGATGGAAAAAAATACATTATTGTCTCAAATAAACATATAATGCATGGTCTCAAAGATTAGCATTATTAAAAATACAAAGCTTTAAAGTATAAAGTTAGATTATCGCTAAATTATAATAATATTATAATAATTTAGTCTCTTCCACGTCATGTTCATAATCCTATAACACAATCGCTTTACCCTCTTTATTTTTTAACAAAAATATTTTTCCCAATGTCTTTTTTCTTGAGTGCTTGACAATCTCTATTATTTTCATTATTCTTTTCATTTATTTGTTCATGTTTATCTAAGAGCCGTTTTGGCTCAGCTTAAAAGCTGATCAAACTGATTTAAAAACTGATTTTTGACTTATTTAGCTATTTGGCAATACTCAAAATAACTTATTTTAAGGCAAAAGTTAAAAGATGAGATAGGGATGTTTTTTTTTCCAGCTTATAAGCTGTTTTAAGTTGACCACATTTTTTCCTTTTTGCCCTTAATATTTTTATACAATCTCCAAATTACCCACATAACCCTAATATCTCTTTCTTCTATTTTTCCTTTTCCACGTGTGGATGATAGACAATTACTATTACTAATGAATGAAAATAAAATAAATCTTAAATTATTTAAGTGATCTATTCAAATTATATATTATTAAAATGTAAAATAAGTTGCACATATAACTTAAATAAAAATTTATATTCCTCTTGTAAATAATTTGTGATAATAAAGAAATATGTCAATGATAGACAATTATTATTACCTATGGATGAAACTAAAATAAAATCTTAAATCGTTCTTTAATCTATTCAAATTATATATCTTTAAAATCTATAATAAGTTTATATTCCTCTCATAAATAATTTGTGATGAGAAAGAAATATGTGAATGATATCAAAATATAATTATTTATGACTGTAAAATATAAATTAATTAACTTTTATTATGTTAACAGCTTTTAAGGGTATTTCAGACATTTTAATTTAAAAGACTGTTTATCAGCACTTATTTGTCAAACACATCAACAATTTTTTTTTAACTTCAACACTTTTATCCAAACACATAACTACTTATTTTAAAAATAAGTTTCAGCACTTTCAGAAGTATTTTTTTAAAGTTGCTTTTATTAATCCCATCCAAACGGACCCTAAATAATATTCTTTGGATGTTTTTGTTAGCAATTATTTTTTGATTCCTTTAAATGTTAGAACTTTAAACATATTTTGTAATCATAGTATGATATTATTCTAAATATTCATTTTCTTCTCATTTCTAAATTGATATGTTTTTGCTTTCATATTATTTTAGTTTTTAGATGTGTCATATTTAATTTGGAAAGTTAAGGAAGAGGTCAACATATGTTTTTTAGGATGTTTCGAAATTGATATATCATCAAGTTCTTATACTCAAGTTTATGCATTGTTTGAATACGCACTTTCATTATTTTGTAGTTATGATGGAAATGTATGCATTTTATAATTAATTCAAGCATTTTTTATAATTATAATAACTTTTATTTTATAAAATTTTGCATGATTTACTGGGTATCTGTATTTTTTATAATTACAAATCTTTTTACACAAAAATTGTAAAAAGAAAAATCATCAATTTTCTTTCCTGAAGAAAATCGAGAAAATATTTTAGCACTCAGATTTGAGAAATTTGGATGTATTAGAAGTTTAGAACAACAGTTATAGAAGTTCTCATAATTTTTTCTACAAGGAAATCGAGAATATATTTTAGTACTCTTTCTATCCACTTTTATTTGTTACATTGTATGTTTTAAATATTAATTTGACTATTTTAAAATTAAATTTGATATCTTAAACAAAATTAGATATTCAATAATTATACAAAAAAAATATTATATATTACAATTTTTTACATATTAAAATATTGAAAAAACATATCGTAAAATATTAGTTAAAATTTTGTGATTTAACTATAACAAAGGAAATTCTAATGCAATTATCTACAAACCTTTACCCCTTTCCTTTATTCTTTTTTATATAAAAGTATAAATATATTTATTGTTTATGTAGGATTATATCAAATTGAACATGAATGATAAAAATGATGGAGAATATAATTATATAGATAATTTTGAAATTGACGTTTATATAGTCAACAAAATAGCTCTCGTGATGGCAAATTCAACAATTTATTTTAAAAATAAATTTTGATATTAAAATTTTTATGAGAAGAATTGAGATAAACGATCATTAAATATATTTATATTTAATTCTGAATTATAATCAAATAAGAGTGTGTAACACCAGTATTTACACACATAACATACACATACATGATAGCTAGCTACTCATCATGTTCGAATATTTAGAGAATAATACTTCTTTACTTTTATTTTGTTAATGGTCATAAAAAATGAAAAATACTAATCATGTATTTCAAAGTATTACATAATTATAAGTTCCCCCGCGTCTGGGAGGAAAAATAGTAGTACTGAGTGTTGAGAAAGGAAAAATTATAATTATTTTATAGATTATGGTATATAAAATATTAAATGAGGGTGATATATCTCAGAGTTGATGTAACAATATTTTAACTTTTGATGAGTTAAAAGTTTATTCGATAAGAACATTCAATAATGCTCTCTATACCAATAAACTGTTAATTTTAAATTTCTAATTCGTTCCCAATCATTTATTAGATAACCTAATACTAATAAATCAATAAAATAATTTTACATTATAACTCGATTTTGAAACACCTTATATTTAATTTTTTTTAATTAAATAACAAAATTTTATCCCCATTATAGTTAACACGTTTCATTCTAACTAGTTACTACATGAGGGGCACGTGCTTAACCAAAAAGATAACAAATTAAATTCATTAAGTTAAACATGTATGTTGGCCGACTAAAACTTGGTTAGAAAGTATCATTAGTCAAATAATATCAAACTCTTATAAGGAAAAGTTTCTTTATAAAATAAAAGATAAATATATATATATAAAGAAGACGCATATTAAAAATAGTCGACTTGTTTTATATTTGAAGCTTTATAAATTATGTAAATTTAATTGGCATTTCGAAAAAATATATATACAATTTTTTTTCTAATAGCTTATAAGGTGGACCCAATTTGCATTGCTGGTTTTCAGCCATCGATTTTGATGGTTCTTTTTTATTTTTTATATCTGCTAAGACAATATATATTTTTTTTAAAAAAAAAAAACTCAAAATACTACGAAATTGTTTATAAAAAAAAAAGGGACTTTCTCTTCAGTGGTTCAATCACACTGAATTCAGAAAAAAGAGGAAAAAAAAAATTAAAAAAGCTGCCTTTTTTTCTTCTTTTATCTTCTTCTTCATCTTCCTTTCCATTCTCATCTCCCACATTCAACTGAAAAACAGATATATAGAGAGAAAAAGGAAAACAAAAAACTGAAAAAGAAACCAACAAAACAGGAAAAAGACTTAATCTTTTCTCTGTATTTCATATTCTTTAACCGTATATTCTCATAAACTCTGGTTGATCTTTAATGGATCTGTAGATCTAACGTTTATTGGCTACGTTTAATTGTATTTTCACACTGTGTGATTCAGTAATATTATACCATATAAGGCCTAATCACAACTGTGAGTCTTCTTTTTTTTTTCATCTTTATTTAGGAGAGAAATTGTTAAAGATGTGAAGTTGGTATGGTTTTTATGTTCTCTTTGAGTTTTAACTGTTCTTTTGTTCATTTTGCACTTATGGTTTCACTGGGTTTTGGTTTTTACAATCTTGAAATTGACCCCTTTTTGTTTTGGACGGTAATGGGTTAGTTTGACTCTGCTTTTTGCCCTAAGTTGTTTTCAAATCTTGGGAGTTTTGTTCTTGCTGTTGAAATTAGAATTATGGGCTTTGTTTAAGCATACTGTCTTGTTTAAATCTTGGGGTTTGTTGATAAAGTTATGATCTTGGTGAAGTTATTGTCTAGTTGAATCTCTTGTTATATGGTTGTTTCCAATTTGCAGAACAAAGGGAGTAGTGGTGGAAGTTTTTAGTTTTGGAGAGCAGTTGCATCCATTTGGATGTTGAGGAATTGGCGGTAAGCAAAGGTGAAATGAGGGATGTTATCAAGGTTGATAAATTTCTTGAAGGCATGTTGCCGGTCATCGGCGGATCGTTATGTACATAGTGCTACAGATTCAGCTGGACGGCAAGATGGACTTTTTTGGTATAAGGACAGTGGACAACACTTACTTGGTGAGTTCTCTATGGCAGTTGTTCAGGCCAACAATTTGCTGGAGGATCAGAGCCAGATTGAGTCAGGTTCTTTGAGCTTGCTTGATTCTGGCCCATATGGAACGTTTGTTGGGGTATATGATGGTCATGGTGGGCCTGAAACATCACGGTATATCAATGATCACCTCTTTCAGAATCTCAAGAGTAAGCATATTGAATATTTTATTTTATAAAACTAAACTGCTAATCTGCCAACTGCCAAGTATTAAGTTGCATAAGTTGATTGGTAGTACAGGGAAGCATGCCGGATAGTGTTTGTTGAATTAGTAGTTTGATAGCTTGATCTTGATTACACTGCAACTTAAATATTGCAGGGTCTGCAGCTGAACAAAATTCCATGTCTGTTGATGTAATACGAAAAGCGTTTCAAGCAACAGAGGAGGGATTCATTTCTCTAGTTGCTCAGCAGTGGCTAACGAAACCTCAGATGGCTTCTGTTGGAGCATGCTGTCTGGTTGGGGTGATCTGTGATGGGACCCTTTATGTTGCCAACCTTGGTGATTCCCGGGCTGTTTTGGGGAGACTTGTCAGGGCTACAGGAGAGGTTCTAGCCCTTCAGCTTTCAGCTGAGCATAATGCAAGTATTGAGTCTGTCAGACAGGAATTGCATTCTATGCATCCGGATGACCCACAGATAGTCGTTCTGAAGCATAATGTATGGCGTGTAAAGGGTCTGATACAGGTATGTTTTTGACAATGGTAACAAGGCGTGCTCTAGACTCTAGTTTGCTAGTGTATAGTCTCATCTTGCCTCTTAGTTAAATGCAAAAATCATTATTGCACTCGTGTTCTATTCTCATTCATTTGCAGGTTGCCAAGTGTATACTGACTTTTGTCTTAGTACTTTACACTCCCTGAAGCTGAAGTGAATTATAAGCCTGTAAATTGTTTCCCCAGTTGTGTCTGTCTTTTTGATACCCCAAATACATTATCCTTCTGTTCTGGTTTGCTTAACGAGGAATGGATGGAGTATTAAACTTCCAATTGTATTATCTAACCGCATGGCTAGGTTTTTATCCTGCATTATGTGCTGGATTCCTGTTTTTCTAATTAATTTGTATCTTTACCTCGCTGAACATGTATTTGCTGTTTTGAGAATGTTTTTAATATTTCATATATTAATCTGTCAGATTTCGAGATCTATTGGCGATTTATATCTCAAAAATGCTGAGTACAATAAAGAGCCATTGTATGCAAAATTTCGTTTGCGAGAACCTTTTACGAGGCCCATATTGAGTGCGGATCCAGCGATTTCAGTGCATGAACTCCAGCCACATGATCAATTTCTCATCCTTGCTTCCGACGGTCTTTGGGAACATCTTAGCAATCAAGAGGCAGTTGATATTGTCCAAAATAGCTCTCACAAAGTATGATCCTTCACTTGAAAGCATAAAATTTCTTATTCTTTTATTTCTCAAAATTATTTATTTAATGTCATGGATTGAAAGTTGGTCTGATTTTCCTTAGGCAGTCCTGTTTATATTTTAAGCACATTACAAACTCACGTAGCCTGGTAGTTCTTTTCTTTGCTAATCACCGCATTATTGCACTGAAAGCTTTAATTATAATTTACTCCCCCCTTTTGGTTATACACAGTTACATTGCATCTTAAAAAAATTACATCATTTAACATCATGTGCAGATTTAGAGAGCAGATTATTTCGGTAATTACATCTTGTAGTCACTAATTATATTGCTCGTAAAAAGCACAATGCGGTAGAAATGTTCCATGTCTTTGACATACCAGAAACAAATTGAACTCCTATTCTTAGATACTCATCTATAGTCAATAAAAGGCAAAATTATGTGTACCACGAGCACACCCATTTGACGAAAACATTAGTTTACTTAACAAAAGCTATCAGATTAGCGAACGACAATTACTTTGTGAAGTATGAAAAATGGAAATAAGAAACTTCAAAGTTCATTCTTCGGATGCTTGAATGGAAGTACACAGGGCTTATACTTCCCTGTCAAATTCCCTTTCGTGTATGTTGTTCCGTGTGTTGCCATCATGAATAAGGGTTGAGGTTCATCTGAATGTTGATGGATTTCAATGTTGAGCTTATTAGGAAAGTAACTACATTTTCTATATTCATTCTTCAGGGAAGTGCTCGGCGGCTTGTAAAAGCTGCACTGCAAGAAGCGGCAAAGAAAAGGGAGATGAGATATTCTGATTTAAAGAAGATTGATCGTGGTGTGAGGAGACATTTTCATGATGATATCTCAGTCATAGTCGTGTTTCTTGATTCAAATCTTGTGAGTAGAGCCAGCTCACTTAGAGGGCCCTCTGTATCTCTGAAAGGAGGTGGTATGAACTTCCCAGCAAAAAGTCTGGCTCCCACTCCCGCATAACTTGGTACTGCTTGACCTTTCCACAGTGTTGTATACTTTGCTGTATCCTTTCTGAAACTTGTTATGACAAGATCCTTTAGTAGATTAAAGAGAAATAACAGAAAGTGCGGCACTAATTTATTCTTTTGTTGTGCAATGTGATGTTTTTGATGTTCAATGTAACGTTTAACTTGGAACAGACGTCTTTATTAACTTTATAAGTAGGCAAGAAGATCAAATTTTCTTTCTTGAGGATGAAACTTCTCTGCTTATATTCTATCAATTTTACTTGCTCACTTTTCTGTGGTAAATGTAAATGAATGCCTCTCATTTTGAACCCATAACGACAGTTTTTCCTGGAAATGGATTCTTGCACACTGTTTTCTAGTTCGGTTACCATTGGCAATCGTTGATTTTGTGAGGATTTTATCTGTCTATTATCGAATTCTTGGCACCTAATAGGAATCCGCTGGTAAGTTTTTATTTGACAGTACACCAATAACTCCAGTGTGCTTACTAGCATCTTCCAGAAACAGCACTGAATAATGGACCATGTACGTTGTTATTGACATTATTAGTTTGACTGACCAACAGTATTATGTGGGGGACAGCTGAAAATTGACCATTTCTCTGTACGTTTGAACCTTCTCTGAATTCACAGGTCATCAAATTATCCATTTTTGTCTATTTGATACGCTTGTTGATTTTGATATTTCATGATTTAAGATGCCGTTTCCTAATTATTGCTATCTGGAATATGTTTTGATAACTAGTTTTATGCTAACTATCAACTCACTGCTACCCTTCTCCTATATCTGAACTTGAGACCAACAATGTGAGTGAGGCACACATCTTACAGTAACTGATTGCAGTATAATGACTAAATTCAAGTGAGATGGGATGGAATAAATATAATTTATATGAAAATGAAACTCAAATATCAAAGTATGATCCCTTCCTTTTCTACTATTCTGCCAATACAAAGAAGGTACATTTTTAGAAACCTTTTTAACCAAAGGTGTCGGGTTTGAGGCTTGAAAATGGAGAAACTCCCTATTGAGAGAACCTAAAATATGTTCTTTGCGGACTTACATTAATCAAATTTTAACTAATATTATATGTTAAGCCTAAGCTCTTCGTTTCCACTTGTGCTTGTTTCCTGGGAAGTTCCTGTCAGCTCAAATGAGTCATCTTCAAAGCCTATACTATAGGTATCTAAGCATCTCAACTTTGGACTCCCAAAGGATAGGCCATCTATGTCCATGTAAAATTTCTGCAATCTAATGCCGTCCATGCTAACTGAGCTTTGAGAATAATCAAGTTGTTTCATTCTATGGCTTCCCCTTACGAGTGATTGGCTTGACAAGCTAGCTAATTTAAAGGAGCCAATTGACGGTTGTTTATGCATGATATTTTCTGCAGAAAAGAAGGCAGACTCCAGTTCTTGCAATACTTGAGTCATGGTAGGCCTTTGTTTGGGAACTTTCACCACACATTTCAGACCAAGTTGTCCCATTTTCAACATCATCTCCATGTTGCATTCCTCCATTAAGAGATTAGCATCTATTATTTCATCGATGCTTCCTCGTTCTAAGCTAGGTCTTGCCTGCATAACAAACAATGCAGGAAATTAGTTGAGAAAATGAAATTGTGTGAGGCAGATAACTTAGAATGTTTTGTACATTGCAACTATTACCCAATCTATAATGTGATAATTAGGATGGCCTCTAGTTTTCTCGACTACAGGTCTAGCTGCAACAAGTTGCAGTAGTATAACACCATAGCTGTAGACATCAGTAAACGGAGTCAACTGGAGAGACGTACAGTAGGCAGGGTCAAGGTACCCTGGTGTGCCCTTTATCTGACTGCTAACATGTGATTGATCCCCAACAGGACCTGATTTCACTAGCCCAAAATCTGAGACCTTGACTTCAAAATTTTCTCCTACTAAGATATTGCTCGGTTTTATGTCCCGATGAATTATACTTGGTCTGATTCCTTCATGCAGATGAGCTATCCCTGAAATAGCAAGTATTAACGTGTATCAAAACTCTGTCCTCTCATCTTCTACTGATCAACCACATAACACACTGAAAAATTACCTTTAGCAGCTCCAATAGCTATCCTCACTCTCTGCCTCCATGTTAAGCTCCTTCCGCCCCTCCCTACAACAAGCATTTCCACAAAACATTAAACTTCAGGACTAAGCAAATAATCATGACTCTGAAGTTGGAACTTTACCCATGATGTAGTCTAACAGAGAGCCGTTTGGAACATACTCATACACCAGAATTTTTGCTCCCTTTGGTCCTGTCGATGCATACAACAACATGATGAACCTTATAATCTTTGACTGTAATATTAATGAAGGATGATGAATTTACCAGCTCCTTGGCAGAATCCCACCAAGCTAACGAGATTTTTGTGCTTCACTTTCGAGACCAACCTGATCTCTGTATGCAGATAACAGTTGTATCAATTACTGCAAAATCTCAGGCGTCTAAACAAAAAAAAGAGGTATGCTTGTTTACCATTTTCAAACTCTTCAGTAGTTGTGTATAACTCAGTATGTGCCTTCTTTATAGCTAGTGTTCCCTCCCCATCAAATGTTCCTCGATAGACATTCCCAAACGCACCAGAACCAACCAGACACTCTTGACTGAAATTATTAGTTGCCTTCTGTAATTGTTCCAACTGGAACAGCTTCAACATCAGCTGTTCAGCTTTTAGTGTTCCTAATTACCCAGAAAATGTCAGTAAAGCAAAAAATTCAGGACAAGAAATAGTTTTTCAATGCTCCATGACAAAGAAATAGTATCGATTGAAGATTCACTAACCTTTTTGGTTCTTCGGTAACCTAAAGCATGCAAAAAGCTTTCTCTTGAAGCAGAAAAAAATTGAACCAAACAATATTATCAAAATTCCTGCTGATACTCCTCCCCATATGTGTTGCTGACTTTGAAAGAAACCTCTACTCATTTTTCTTCTAGTTTATCCTACATCTATTCTACTACGCCTTTCATGCCTTAATTTTTTCTTTGCATTTAACTACTTCACTAAGTGGCCGAAAGCAAGAATAGTAGGTCTGAAATACTTATTCAAAAGGATTTAGTATATCTCTGCCGGCTAGCTATTCATTTGTTGTCTTTCCCAGACTAGGTCAGTTATCCTTCTGTCCAAGCGGCACATATAGCCAAAGAGGACATGAAAACATATATATATATATATATGCATGTAGGTATGCAGAAATATTCATATGAAAACGACTTAACAGTAAAAGCCAGAGAATGATCTTCATATTATATTAAGAGATGGTTATGTATTCCATGATATTATATAGTTGTTGGCAGCATCAGACACTGTATTTAGGAAAGACATCACTGTCTGCTTTATCTTATTCGAAGCATTAAAGATGCCCATTAGTATATTTGCATCAAGACAAACAATGTCTCTTCGGTATACTACAATAAAATTCATTGCAGAGCTGTACAATTAAGTCGCGAACATTAAGAATTCAAGAATCAGGATCATTATCCTCTTGTCCTACCTTGCTACGTTCAATTGCATAAGTATAACAACCATGTTCTTCTCAGTTGTAAGTTCATACCACTGCTATGTTATAGGAACAACAGAACAAGTCATACCATATCGTCTTCTTTCTGGATAGTACAGTTTAATACACAATTATTGCATGTAAATGATCTCGAAACGTTTATGATTCCATATACAAATAAATCAACAACATTCAAAACTTCTACTTTTACACAAGTGGAAAAAAAACTCAAACCAAAATTAAGCTATACAATAACCAGAGCTTTATCTTGTAACAAAGTTTCTGCTGCTTTTTTCCCAGAAACTAAAGCTCCATCAAAAGTAGCGCTAGTCACATAATCTCCACAAATGTACAAGCCCGGTTTCACTTTCGGGTTCTTCTTCAAGTTAGTGGGTGGGCATTGGTTCGGTTGGGCAAACCCGATCCTGTACATCCTCAAGTAACCCCATGACCCAACTACCGACTCCCCAAACCAACCCGATAGCTCCTTCACGACCCGATCCACCAAATCCTCATCTGCCACATCACCATAAAGCCCCACAAGCGTGACAGAAACCAGTGCCTTCCCTGCCGGAGCATAAGAGGGAGCCACATTGGTCGCGAAGAACATGTTATTAACGATACCTTTACCCGATCCGTTAAGAAGAAGAACCGGATCCTGCACCGGAACTTTGCCTTGGTCAGCTGAAAAATACAAACATACTGTGCTCCGAACCGGTTGCCGAACCTCACCGGTTTTTTCTCCCGCCAACAACTTGACAGCTTCAGGCTCTTCAACTGCCAATATTACCCCAAATTCACTTTCCAACATTTCCCCATTTTGTAGTGTCACTCTTATTTTTGTGCTGGAATCCGATCCTGAATCAACGGAAACAACACGTGTATTGAACAATATTGAATTCGACGGCAGTTTTGCCGCCAACTGTTCCGGAATGGCCGCAATGCCCTTCGCCGGAAGTGTGTTGTCACCAAGAGCTAGGCATTTGAAGATGAAATTGAACAGCCGCGACGTTGTTTCAAGCTCTCTATCGAAGAAAATTCCACCAAAAAACGGTCGAAAGAACCTTTCCAATATTGCATCAGAAAAACCGATCTTCTTTAATAAATTCATCGTAGGTTCTTCATCAGCACTCAATATTTCATCATCACCTTGCGTCAAAACTTTCAATCTAGTCAATCCTATAAGTAATTTATCCACAACTGAACCAATTGGGTTAGTTAAAGATTGCAGTGCATCTGCGAAATGCCGGAGAGGATCAGCAACGGTGTGGAAACGACCACCATAGTAAACCTGAGCCCCCGAATAGAATTTTCTGAGGTCTAAAGAGTCATAATCAAGGACTTTTCGGGCTTCAGGATAACCAGTAATGAAAATCTGGAAACCACGATCAAGGGTATATCCGTCAACTACATCGGACCGAACGCGACCACCAACGGCATCAGAAGCTTCGAGAAGGAGAAAGGGGATGTTGTCAGCTTGAAGCCGAATGGCAGCTGCTAGGCCAGCTAAACCGCCGCCGATGACAATGACTCCGGTGGTATTAGGCTGAGAAGTTGAGCCAACGGGTATATTTGAGGAAGCATACGGCGGTTTTAGTAGTGGGAAGCGGCGGCGCGTGGAGAAAAGAGTTGAGGAAGGGTGAGGGAGAGTGGCGGGAAGGCAGAGACACGGCGGCATTTAGAATGAACGGAAACGGGAAGGACAAGTATCTAATGTGGATTTCGTTAGTTACATGCTATCCATTTGGTGGGGCCGAATTCTGTGGTGGAAGGCGTACATAAGTTATCCAGTTCCTTATTTCTACATTTTTTATTTAATCTATATTTGGTGACCCAAGACAAGAGAACAATGATCTAGCATATTTAATCGCAATTGTAAAAAATGAAACACTATCATGTACTGTGTACTTAAATTTTAATGGTTGTTTGATTAGGAATAAGTCATCTCAAGATTAGTTATTTATTTTATCATATATATGAAATTATTTATCTGAATTATTTCATCACTGTAATATAAATGATCGAGTAACTTATCTCAAAACATAACAATTAAATAAGATACAAATTTTTTATTTCATTATTTTCTTTTTCCATTACTATATATTTTTATCAATCACATTAAACGGCCCTTACTGTTACATATTAGATATTTTCTATAAGTCAATTATTTTTTATTTGTGCTTTGATACTTTGATTGGTAAAATATTATGAAAAATGAAAATGATTTCTTGAAAGTGAGAAAAACAACTTTTACATTTCCTTTAATTTGCACTGTGTTTCAGTGTTTTTTTTTGGTTGAAACCTGTTTTTCCATCAAATTAGTAGCAAAATTGAAAAGGTTTTCTTTCAACGTGTTTTATTAAATACACACTTTTGGGAAGGAATTTTTTTATTTCTTTTTTGGGGAGGGGGGCCAGTGAGGGGTCAAGGTTGATATTTTCAATATGCACAAATTCAACTTCATATTTTGTATATATGAAGGTCTATTTGAAAATTGAATGAAGCGTGTTTGATGTAGATATATATTGGCATTTGTTCGTTTTATTTGTGGCAAGTGTCTTTGAACAAGCATTCTTTGACCTGCTCAAATCCATATAATTGAACTTGATGTTTTAATCTGTACCATGTCCAAAATGGTGTCCCACGAACAATAATGAATATGTGTGGTTGCACTACAGAAATAAAGCATTTATGGACAAACTCATTAGGTTTGGAAGATTCAGCTCCATTTTTTCAAGTGTAAAAACGCTTTTCATTTCATAAAATTTTCTACCTTTCAACTTACCCGTACGCAAGAATCTCCTATACATACATTCCCTGGTCTCTCATATCTAACGTAATAATGACTAATTGGCATAATAACAAGTGAGAGCAAGATGTCAAGTGTCGCAGTATGGGTGGGATTATAAGCAAATAGTATGGGGCAACCTATTTAAGTCAAGCATCCTACCTAAAAACCAAAAGTCAAGTTACAACTAATTTTTATAATGTTGCAGAAGTCAAGAAAAGTGTATAACAAACAATTGTTGATGAAATTCAAGCATTTGGCACCGGCAGGCGAAAAAAATATCTCATCATCTACTGGTTTACAGGCCTGCCCAGCTAGTATAAGCATAGATAAAAATAATAGTATTATTTTACAGCAAGTACCAAATTTCAGTATAGACTTTATGCAAGAGGTGTGAGTTGAAACATCAGCAGCATAATGGTTGGTGCATGAACATCAAAATAATACTCAGTAAACTAATTCTTCAAGCATATTCGTTTCATTACATTACTTAAAAATTGTGTTGGTTATACAGAGCACCTCAAGTAATTTTACAATAGGCATATGCCAAAGCACCTTATCTACAACAATAACAACATACCCAAGTGCAATCTCAGAAGTAGGATAGGATGTAGGACCTTATCCCCTACGTAAAGAGGTTGTTTCCAATAGACAACTCGGTTCAAAGAATCAAAGGACCTTGTCTAAGAGGAGAATTGCAGATGTCTTGTTAAGTCAATCAAGATCAAGGTAGACGTTATCTTGCACAAGGCGAATGCAAAGCAAAAGGCACAGTAATACAAAGTGCTATTCTGAGGAAGTAGAATACACTAAAATTGCTCAAAATTCTATACATAGTGGTAAACAACTACAACGATCAAAGCTCAAAGGAGCGCAACTCTAAATTACATTATATTTTCAGGAAAATTGGTACAAGCGAGGACAAGAAATAGAGAAATCCTACAGCCAAGTATGAGGAAATAAAATAACCACATTATAATTTACAGAGTATAATCACCTACAGATCCCTTCTGCACAGTGGACAAGATCCATGCCTCAACAGCCATGTATCGATGCAAGGAAGGTGAAACATGTGATGACATTGTGGTAAACATCTAGCAGTCTCTCCCCGTTGGAAGTCCTAGAAAGATAGAAACCGAGAACAGCGTTCAGAACCAATTAAGTAATTCAAAAACAGACAATAGAATAACAAAAGAAAATGTATAAATGTGTCTTACCTGTAGGCAGACTGAACAGGAGACTCTCTCTCCCGAATCATCCACATCATTATCATTAGTAATTACAATCTTAGGTATCTTTTCAACAGAATCTCCAGGTAAACCCTTTGCCCCACCTACATCGAAAATGTTAGGGAACTCGTCATACGCAGATTCAATGGCTCCCATCTGTCCAACAATAAGAGAGTGTTACAAATGAAGTTTCAAGCAGAATCCCATAATATCAACCAACTAGGCTACAACATACCTGACTCTGTACTGCACTTAGCATTGCAGGACCAATCCGCTCACGAACTAGTCTACCACTTAATAGGCTCGCGATTACATCAATCTGTACAATTCAAGAGTTGTATCTATTAATCAAATGTCAATGGATCATGAAATAGAACTCACATTTTTCACATAAAGTTGTCCCTTTTATACAAGTTATACAGAAATTAGTCAGCTCAATCAGAAGAAGCAACGATTCTTACCAAGTAAAGAAGACAACCAATACCAGATTCATCAGACTGCCATAGTAATAGAGATGATTCAAAGACTTCAAGAGAGAAAACAGCACCAGATATGGCACCAACTGCAGCACCTCTAACAAATCCACTTTCTGTCTCCTGCCCTATCAAAGCTCCAGTCATTGCTCCTAATAAGGTGCCCACTACAACAACCAAATTCATTCTACGTTAGCTTCCCACAAAGCTAATAAAATATTCGCAAACCTTACCACTAGATTAGCATCACCAAAAAGCGAAAAAGGAAACAGCTTTTTTTATAAATTAAAGTAAGTAATTCCATCCTAAACATTTAGAACATAATCACCCACAAAAATACAAGATATAAACTTAAAAATTCAAAAATTGTCCCTTCTCAGATTCTTTTCCCTAAAATCAACCCAAATCACAAATTCAACCAAATAACCGATTGTTGAACAAAATTCCCCAGAACCCCACGTTACAAAACTGTACGCCATCAAATGG